CTTGTTGGTCCCGAGCAGTTCAACTGCCTGCTGTTCTTCAGAAAAATCCTCCAGCTCCTGCACATTCTTTGGTTTTCCAGTATCTTCTGCATATTTGAACCCTTTCCAACATTGACTGTATGATTTTGAAATGCATATTTTAACGCTGAGGACAATTGAGGGACTCATGCATAACTATTACAAAAGGTGAAAACATGTACTGATGCTCAAGAAGGCCACAACGGGGGTGTAACTTTTTCAGTTGGATGATCAGGGTAAATTGTACTTATTTTGTATTATGGGAAACGTAAGTATTTATGTAGCTTCTGAAGAAAAAATATGATCGTTAAACAAAATGAGAAGAATTTACACATTATCCTGTTCAAAAGTTTACATCCCCCAATTTTATTCAACACATTTCACCTGTTTTGTGTTCATCTGCTTCTCCCATTTGCTAATTTACATTGACTATCACTCTATATAGACTAATACAATCAGATACAACAATAATTTCTCATTTATTACATTATATTGATCAAATTAGCTCGTCATATTTATGGAGATTTGTTTTGAATGCATCAGCATGGAAAGCAGTTATCTTTGGAATAGAAATATATATATATATATATATATACACACAAATTGATTCAACAGAGTGAGTCACGCTTAACCGCTCCGAATAATTAAAAATGAAACTTGTGACTTCGATCTTTCATTTCAAGCGATTCACTAGCAAAAACTAGTTCACAAGGGCCATTCATTTTTGGAATTTCGACGTCATGTGTAATGATTTTAAAAAGCATGTCGTGATGGGTGAAACTGAGCTTTTCGAAACTCTGAGTTGCAAAATCACTGTTTCGAAGCACTCCAATTGGATCGCATCTCGTGAATCATTTTATTCAGATCGGGACTTCAAAGCACGTATCGCGAATCATTTAGATCGGGGCTTTGGAGCGGGTTCATGAATCATTATTCAGATCAGGGCTTCAGATCGCATATTGCAAATAATTTAATTTACACCGTGTTTACACCGGACACGAGCGGCGCGATGCAGCAAAATACTGTAGAACTCATTATAGGCAAATCATTGATGCTGTCTACACTGGACAGCGGTGCAACAAGACACGACAAATCCCTGACAGTAACCTGCTGCCTCGTTCTATTTATGACATACTGACATAAAGTTCAAATGATTTGCAACAATCACTTTGTCACGTCCAGTGTACACTCTAAAAAATGCTGGGTTATTTCAACCCAACTTTGGGTCAAATTTGGACTAACCCAGGGGTGCCCAAACTCGGTCCTGGAGGGCCGGTGTCCTGCAGAGTTTAGCTCCAGCTTGCCTCAACACACCTGCCTGGAAGTTTCTAGTATGTCTAGTAAGAGCTTGATTAGCTGCTTCAGGTGTGTTTGATTAGGGTTGGAGCTAAACTCTGCAGGACACCGGCCCTCCAGGACCGAGTGTGGGCACCCCTGGACTAACCCAACTTTTGGGTTAAAAATTTTATGTAAAAATTTAACCCAACAGTTGGGTTAGTCCATATTTGACCCAAAGTTGGGTTGAAACAACCCAGCATTTTTTAGAGGGTAGAAAGACTTTAGCTGTTGCAGTGTGGTGCGACTGGACACGACAATTCTCACGTCCAGTGTCGACACGGCGTTAGATCGAAACTTTGGAGCGGGTTCGCAAATCTTTTGATTCAAATCGGAACTTCAGAGCGCATGTTGCTAATCATTTGATTTAGATCTGAACTTCGGAGCGGGTTCGCGAATCTTTGTGATTCAGATCTGAACTTTGGAGTGCGTATCGTGAATCTTTATTCTGATTTTTCCCCCGTTTTTTTTTATTTTATCAAACAGTACAGACTTCAAACCATTAAGGCAGTATAGTTATAAAAACAAAACAGACAAAGAATATACAGATACAAATGTGTTGCCAGGTTAACAAAAAAAAAAAAAAGCCAAATAAATGTACACATTTAAGAGAAAAATGTATACATAGGTTGGATATAGATATACAGTTTATTGCTTTAGGATTAACAGAACTTTAGATATTCATACTTCATACTTGTCTAGATCAACTTTGAATAAAGAAAAGAGAGGTTAGGAATGTGAAATTTAGTTAGCAGGAAACACAAATTAATGAAGTTATATTTTCCTACACCCTAAAAGAAACGTTGGGTTGTTTACTGTTCCCAATATCTGGGTTAAACATATTAGATCGCTTGTTTATTATCAGTGCATAAGTGAATATACACATGCTCAACAGGACCACATGCTTGAAGAGCATTAGATAAGCACGCATGTCTGAATGTGTTTACATACATAAACAATGTTGTCTGGCCCGTGTGGGTCTTGAATGGCAAAACATGCAAGGTCATGCAGCGAACGGCAGCATTAATTGTCACTGGAAAGATTAGAGACAAGAGCATCTCTCGGTCCCTTCAGAAGTGCATGCTTACTGATTCAGGGCATGAAGCCAAGAGGCTTTAGAGTGATTACGTGAGTAACGATCATCCATGATGCATCAGCTAAAACTGATAACACATGAACCGCCCTCTGACCTCAGTTTGACAGGGCAGCAGACATTACGATCAAATTATTAACAGATCAGGAAAAAGAGAACTAGAGGACTGTCTGATGGAGACGATGAGACGAGATGAGCGAGAGACCTTCAGATTGAGAATGAGTAAGTATGGTGACTTGGAGCGACGGTAGAGCCAGTGGATAATCTCATGACTAATGATTGTGATGCCCAGATTACAGGGCCTGAAATAGGGCCCGTCTGTCCTGAACCATCACAAACTGCTGGAGAATCACACGTGCCAATTAACAGGACCCCTGATCTTCATACAGCCTGAAAAAGACTCATATATGATAATATATTCAATTCAATTCAAGTTTATTTGTATAGCGCTTTTCACGATGCAAATCGTTGCAAAGCAGCTCTACAGAAAATTAAAGTTTCTACATTATATTTAGTAGTAGCTTATCAGTGGTGACTATCTCAAGTTGATGTCCATATGGCAGAAATGTACGGTAAAAATCAAGCAGTTAATGTCATGTAATCAAACAGACGGTGAACACTATTAACAGCAATGATTATATGTTTTGCGATCAAACTTATAGCAAAGTTTGGTAGTTTTGTATGTCTGAGTTGTATTTGTTGTCTGAGATTAGATTGGCATCATCTGAGGTCCTCTGAGGGGCTGGCATCATCTCTTCTCAGTTGTTCGGTCATCTCAGGTCTTTGTAAGTGCTGGATCCAGACTGAAGCTTGTGTAAATCCTAGTTACCATGGGATTTGCGATCAAACTTATAGCAAAGTTTGGTAGTTTTGTATGTCTGAGTTGTATTTGTTGTCTGAGATTAGATTGGCATCATCTGAGGTCCTCTGAGGGGCTGGCATCATCTCTTCTCAGTTGTTCGGTCATCTCAGGTCTTTGTAAGTGCTGGATCCAGACTGAAGCTTGTGTAAATCCTAGTTACCATGGGATGCCAATCCCTTGGCAGAAACAGAGAAGGAAATAGAGAAAAATTTGCGTAGCTGCTGTTCCAACTAAGCAAAAAATTATGTGTTCAACCCAAGCAAAAGAATGTTAATGTGCATTTGATCAGATGTAACTGAAGTACAAGGTTATGATATACATTATGTGAAAGATTGGCTAAAGAGATGTCTTTAATCTAGATTTAAACAGAGAGAGTGTGTCTGAACCCCGAACGGTATCAGGAAGGCTATTCCAGAGTTTGGGAGCCAAATGTGAAAAAGCTCTACCTCCTTTAGTGGACTTTGCTATCCTAGGAACTACCAAGAGTCCAGAGTTTTGTGACCTTAGGGAGCGTGATGGATTGTAGCGTGGTAGAAGACTATTTAGCTACGCAGGAGCGAAACCTTTTAGTTCCTTAAAAGTAAGTAGTAATATTTTGTAACCGATACGGAACTTAATAGGTAGCCAGTGCAGATAATGTAAAATTGGCGTAATATGATCATATTTTCTTGACCTGGTAAGGACTCTAGCTGCTGCATTTTGGACTACCTGTAGCTTGTTTACTGAAGATGCAGGACAACCAGCTAGCAGTGCATTACAATAGTCCAGTCTAGAGGTCATGAATGCATGAACTAGCTTTTCTGCATCAGTAGCAGGTAACATGTTCCGTAACTTGGCAATGTTTCTAAGATTTAGAAGTCGTCATACATACAGAAAAAAAAAATATATATATATATATTTTTTTTAACTCAAGATACTCTTGAGAGCTGTCAAACAGACAGTATGTCTCCTCTAGTTTGAGGTTATCTTGTGTAAGGTCAGTTAAAGTTGGAAATAATTCCCGGCATTAGAGAGGAAATGCAGCCTTTAACTGAATCAAACATGCAATCAAATTAGACGTGCATAAAGTATGAGATTAATCATTCTTCCATGCATGGATTGCAAATCCATCCCAAAGAGGCACAAAATCACTTTTACGGACTTTTAAATTAAATGTTCCCTCCTGGTGGAATGAACTGCCCAACTCAATCCGAGCAGCTGAGTCCTTAGCCATCTTCAAGAATTGTGCACTAATCAATGTGGCACTGAGGAAGAGCTTTTGTCTCGAAAACGTTTTGCACTTTTCACTTTTGCACGGCCTCTGATTAAGCATTATAATAAAGATTTTTTGAGGTTTTGCCCTATATTTGACCGTGCGCTGATAGTTTTTTCTGCTGGCTTCATGTTATTCTACAACATGAAATATATCTGTAATACCCCTTAAAAAGCTTTTTTTGTCTTGAAAAAGGCGTCTGCTAATAAGTGTCTAAGTTTCAGAAACTTAATGGTGGTGATGTTGAAGTCATGTGACAGTCGTGTAGTTTGTTAATAGCCTACATTTAGCTTTTTACTTCTGGCGATTGAATTTAGGCTTCAGTTGTGTTCAATTGTGAAGATTATCATGACGAACAAAATGTGAATCATAAACTTTTATTGGTCACAGAGCTTGTTTTCTGCAATAATCCTAAAGCCTTTGGAAAAATCCTATTGGGTTTTTGTACAGGTAACCAGGTTCATGCTAACATTCTGCTTTTGGCCTACAAAACTGCATCATGATGCATCACTTCCTGTTGACAGTTTACCCGTTTGAGTTCCAGGAACTGCTGGATGTTGGTCCTGCTTGTGTAAATCACATTGAACATGTTGTTCTCGAGATGGTGGGCATGACCTGATGGTTTCAATGCTCCTTGTTTCCAATCAGAGTGTTCCTACCACAAGCCACTGGGGTTTGAGTCCGGGTCAGTGATGGCGGAGCAGCTTACCTGTTCAAACCAGGATCAGTACGTGGGCTGGTTCTCCTCATGGACCCCAAATAAAGCCCGACTGAACAGTCAAGGGTTTGGGTAAGTGTCTCAGAAAAACCTTCTAGCAGCACTAAACCAGCCTGAAATTAAAGCTTGGGTTTCACCATTACCAAAACGACTAGCGCTAAATCTGATTTAGCTTGTGTGGGGTCATAATAAAGTGGACACTGACTGACTTTCCACTTTGTCGCAGCTGTGCTTGGCTGTCTAAATTCCAGGACACGAATCAGTGGCTTCAGATCGACCTCCAGGAGGTGCGGGTGGTCTCGGGTATCCTGGCTCAGGGCCGCTGTGATGCTGACGAATGGACAACGAAATACAGCCTGCAGTACCGAACCCAAGAAAACCTCAACTGGATCTATTACAAAGACCAGACCGGGAATAACAGGGTAAAAGCCTTAAAATACAAGAGTGTTTAGAGTAAAATCAAAAGGATTTCTCTTACAACTGATGTTTGAGCCGATGTGAAAAAACATCAGTAACACTGTCAAGTTTTAATACTAGCCTCTTGTTCTTCCATTAACAATAACTGTAAATATTAAGTTTTATTTATCATTCTAATTCTAAGAGAATAGCAAGGTACACACCATAACTAATAATGATATTGCTGGAATCACTTTCAATTATTTTCCCGCTGATGAACGATAAACCTCTACAGCAAATTACAATCTTTCTGAATTTTAATAAGCGTGAACATTGAAACATTTTTGCAGCGCACTTATAATAAACAGAACGTTATCATCCGTTGGTGTGGGCGCTAATAAAGGTCGCTATTAATACCTTTTACAGTTTTGGTTCTTGGTGTGAAACGCTTTTAAATGGTAATCTATTCATCTATCTATCTATTACTATTAAGTGCCAAAACAACAACGTTTTGCCACATTATTGCCTAATTTCTGTGAAGTTTCCTATCCAAAAACACAGGGCACATGTCTGATAGGCCCGGTTTCACAAACAGGGTTTAGGTTAAACTAGGATTAGGCCATAGTTCAATTAGGACATTTAAATAAAATGCCTTAGCTAAAAACACTACTGGTGTGCATCTTGAGACAAACCAATGAAACTGACATATTTTAAGATCAGAGGGTGCAAGTTTCTTTCAGTTAAAACAGCACAGACATGCATTTTAGTCTGGGACTAAGCTTAAGCCTCGTCTATGAAACCGGGAGCTAATAGCTATGTTTCCATCCACCTATTTTTATGCACATTTTGGAATATCACATAAAAAACCTCTGGATGGAAATGCCAAGATGCGCATAGATATTAAAAATGCACATAAACTTACACGCACAATTGAGTAGGATAAACGTTTTAGCCGATAAGAAAAAAACTCATCTGGGAACCACATCTGCAGTCCTCTGCACAATATGACTTTGTTGCAGTCTAGAATTAAACTGCTGGTCTCGTCTGGCCAGAGGAGAACGGCACACTCTCTCGACACACTATTTCCCTTTTTTAATAATCTGCATTGTAAAAAAGCGCTATATAAGTAACTTGACTTATCAGATATGAAAATTATTATATTCAGTAGCTATGTTTCCATCCAAAGATTCTAATTAAACTTATGCGCAAAACTGGAATATCGCATAAAACATTTGCGAATAAGTTTCCATCCAACGAGTCAAAAAGAACAAAATCGTCATCTCCTGGTAAACTGGCACTAAATATCACTAAGAAAACTAGGAGAAGCCACTGAATGTAATAATTTTCATATACTGTATGATAAATTACTCGCGTCTCAGACGAAACACAATAAATGCAGTCATTGCTTTCGGAGGAGGATGCTGGGAACGCAGTCGTGTGAGACAATTATACAGAAATACTTTGACGACAGACTTTGCTCAGGCATTTCAAAACGACCATAACAAAGGAATTTATTCGGTAAATGTTCCCATCATAGTTTATGTGCATTTTTTCTTATCGGATTAAAAAGTTTAAATCGCACTCAAATGTGGGCATAAGTTTTTTATGCGCATTTTTTAAATTTACAGTGGGTACGGAAAGTATTCAGACCCCCTTAATTTTTTCACTCTTTGTTATATTGCAGCCATTTGCTAAAACCAATTAAGTTAATTTTTTTTCCTCATTAATGTACACACAGCACCCCATATTAACAGAAAAACACAGAATTGTTGACGTTTTTGCAGATTTATTAAAAAAGAAAAACTGAAATATCACATGGTCCTAAGTATTCAGACCCTTTGCTGTGACACTCATGTATTTAACTCAGGTGCTGTCCATTTCTTCTGATCATCCTTGAGATGGTTCTACACCTTCATTTGAGTCCAGCTGTGTTTGATTATACTGATTGGACTTGATTAGGAAAGCCACACACCTGTCTATATAAGACCTTACAGCTCACAGTGCATGTCAGAGCAAATGAGAATCATGAGGTCAAAGGAACTGCCTGAAGAGCTCAGAGACAGAATTGTGGCAAGGCACAGATCTGGCCAAGGTTACAAAAAAAAATTCTGCTGCACTTAAGGTACCTAAGAGCACAGTGGCCTCCATAAACCTTAAATGGAAGACGTTTGCTGACATATTTTAAGATCAGAGGGTGCAAGTTTCTTTCAGTTAAAACAGCACAGACATGCATTTTAGTCTGGGACTAAGCTTAAGCCTCGTCTATGAAACCGGGAGCTAATAGCTATGTTTCCATCCACCTATTTTTATGCACATTTTGGAATATCACATAAAAAACCTCTGGATGGAAATGCCAAGATGCGCATAGATATTAAAAATGCACATAAACTTACACGCACAATTGAGTAGGATAAACGTTTTAGCCGATAAGAAAAAAACTCATCTGGGAACCACATCTGCAGTCCTCTGCACAATATGACTTTGTTGCAGTCTAGAATTAAACTGCTGGTCTCGTCTGGCCAGAGGAGAACGGCACACTCTCTCGACACACTATTTCCCTTTTTTAATAATCTGCATTGTAAAAAAGCGCTATATAAGTAACTTGACTTATCAGATATGAAAATTATTATATTCAGTAGCTATGTTTCCATCCAAAGATTCTAATTAAACTTATGCGCAAAACTGGAATATCGCATAAAACATTTGCGAATAAGTTTCCATCCAACGAGTCAAAAAGAACAAAATCGTCATCTCCTGGTAAACTGGCACTAAATATCACTAAGAAAACTAGGAGAAGCCACTGAATGTAATAATTTTCATATACTGTATGATAAATTACTCGCGTCTCAGACGAAACACAATAAATGCAGTCATTGCTTTCGGAGGAGGATGCTGGGAACGCAGTCGTGTGAGACAATTATACAGAAATACTTTGACGACAGACTTTGCTCAGGCATTTCAAAACGACCATAACAAAGGAATTTATTCGGTAAATGTTCCCATCATAGTTTATGTGCATTTTTTCTTATCGGATTAAAAAGTTTAAATCGCACTCAAATGTGGGCATAAGTTTTTTATGCGCATTTTTTAAATTTACAGTGGGTACGGAAAGTATTCAGACCCCCTTAATTTTTTCACTCTTTGTTATATTGCAGCCATTTGCTAAAACCAATTAAGTTAATTTTTTTTCCTCATTAATGTACACACAGCACCCCATATTAACAGAAAAACACAGAATTGTTGACGTTTTTGCAGATTTATTAAAAAAGAAAAACTGAAATATCACATGGTCCTAAGTATTCAGACCCTTTGCTGTGACACTCATGTATTTAACTCAGGTGCTGTCCATTTCTTCTGATCATCCTTGAGATGGTTCTACACCTTCATTTGAGTCCAGCTGTGTTTGATTATACTGATTGGACTTGATTAGGAAAGCCACACACCTGTCTATATAAGACCTTACAGCGCACAGTGCATGTCAGAGCAAATGAGAATCATGAGGTCAAAGGAACTGCCTGAAGAGCTCAGAGACAGAATTGTGGCAAAGCACAGATCTGGCCAAGGTTAGCAAGGTACACACCATAACTAATAATGATATTGCTGGAATCACTTTCAATTATTTTCCCGCTGATGAACGATAAACCTCTACAGCAAATTACAATCTTTCTGAATTTTAATAAGCGTGAACATTGAAACATTTTTGCAGCGCACTTATAATAAACAGAACGTTATCATCCGTTGGTGTGGGCGCTAATAAAGGTCGCTATTAATACCTTTTACAGTTTTGGTTCTTGGTGTGAAACGCTTTTAAATGGTAATCTATTCATCTATCTATCTATTACTATTAAGTGCCAAAACAACAACGTTTTGCCACATTATTGCCTAATTTCTGTGAAGTTTCCTATCCAAAAACACAGGGCACATGTCTGATAGGCCCGGTTTCACAAACAGGGTTTAGGTTAAACTAGGATTAGGCCATAGTTCAATTAGGACATTTAAATAAAATGCCTTAGCTAAAAACACTACTGGTGTGCATCTTGAGACAAACCAATGAAACTGACATATTTTAAGATCAGAGGGTGCAAGTTTCTTTCAGTTAAAACAGCACAGACATGCATTTTAGTCTGGGACTAAGCTTAAGCCTCGTCTATGAAACCGGGAGCTAATAGCTATGTTTCCATCCACCTATTTTTATGCACATTTTGGAATATCACATAAAAAACCTCTGGATGGAAATGCCAAGATGCGCATAGATATTAAAAATGCACATAAACTTACACGCACAATTGAGTAGGATAAACGTTTTAGCCGATAAGAAAAAAACTCATCTGGGAACCACATCTGCAGTCCTCTGCACAATATGACTTTGTTGCAGTCTAGAATTAAACTGCTGGTCTCGTCTGGCCAGAGGAGAACGGCACACTCTCTCGACACACTATTTCCCTTTTTTAATAATCTGCATTGTAAAAAAGCGCTATATAAGTAACTTGACTTATCAGATATGAAAATTATTATATTCAGTAGCTATGTTTTCATCCAAAGATTCTAATTAAACTTATGCGCAAAACTGGAATATCGCATAAAACATTTGCGAATAAGTTTCCATCCAACGAGTCAAAAAGAACAAAATCGTCATCTCCTGGTAAACTGGCACTAAATATCACTAAGAAAACTAGGAGAAGCCACTGAATGTAATAATTTTCATATACTGTATGATAAATTACTCGCGTCTCAGACGAAACACAATAAATGCAGTCATTGCTTTCGGAGGAGGATGCTGGGAACGCAGTCGTGTGAGACAATTATACAGAAATACTTTGACGACAGACTTTGCTCAGGCATTTCAAAACGACCATAACAAAGGAATTTATTCGGTAAATGTTCCCATCATAGTTTATGTGCATTTTTTCTTATCGGATTAAAAAGTTTAATCGCACTCAAATGTGGGCATAAGTTTTTTATGCGCATTTTTTAAATTTATGTGCATCTTGGCGTAACCCATCCATCCAGCGTTTTTTTTTAATGCGATAGTCCAAAATGCGCATAAAAATAGGTAGATGGAAACACAGCTAGTGGCTTCTCCAAATTTTCTTCTTGATATTTAGTGCTAGATTATCAGGAAGTGACAATTTTGTTCTCTTTGACTCATTGGATGGAAACGGTTGCTTTATTCGCAAATGTTTTATGCGATATTCCACTTTTGCGCATAAGTTAAATTTGCATCTTTGGATGGAAGCATAGCTAATGTTTTTGATGACAATGTTGGATTAGTCAGTAGTGAGTATACTGGCATTAACTCCCCATCATTTAATGATGTTTATGGCTTGTGTTCATCTATCAGGTGTTTTATGGAAACACGGACCGATCCTCCGCGGTCCAGAACCTGCTGCGTCCGCCCATCGTAGCGCGGTACCTGCGGATCCTGCCTCTGGGCTGGCACACGCGCATCGCCCTACGCCTGGAGCTGCTCATGTGCATGAACAAATGCGTCACGGGTTAAGAACAGCTTTAGGTACTACAGCAAAATATGTGACCCTGTCTGTAAAATCCAGGCTAAAGTCTCAAAATCTAATTTTGAGATAACATGCATCAAAGTTTGATTTCAACCATTAATTTCACCATGATTTCAATCTTTGACATGGCCTTACTCAGTCAATATTAAAGATATAAAGGTTATATTTTCACAGAATGTTCTACATCTTTATAAAGGATGATTTTATGTAGAAAACAGTAAATCACAAAAAATGACTTTAGCTGGGTTTTCACAGGCTTTATAAAGTCACATATACTCAGATCAGTAGGTAACAGGCAATTTGAAATAATACCATATAACTGTAGCTTCTGTGTGTACGAAATAAAACAAATAAGCATTTTTGGTCTAAAACAAGAGGACTGCTTTATTATCAATGACTTGCTGATCTTTGCGAAGTATACAAAAAAGAGGAACAGTCCATTTTGCTTTCTGAAATGATAATTGAATAAATTCCATATTGATTTATTAATCAAATCAGAAAACATGTGAACAACCATTGAGCTTCCTAGTAACTGCATTTAAAACGGTCCAAATTCATTACCACAGATAAAGGCTGTAAACTAGCTAGCTAGCTCTGCTAGCGGCTGTTTCTGACTCAGCACAACCACCAAAATAAACTACCATTATCTAATAAATGGCTGTAAATATAACCAGAAGAAGACTCGCACACTGGTGTTAATGTAATTCACGTGTGTCTTTTTGAAAAAATTCCATGTTAGAGAGACATTAGCAATTTAATTAACACATAAAGAGACTCAGTGTTGAGCTAATCATGTATAAAACAAAATGGAAAATCCTGTCTTAAAATTACTAACCGCCCAGCTAACAATTTTTGATTCCCAAAATTTAGGTTATCACAAATTTCTGGGGAGGTTAGTTTTTATTTTTTATAAAAAAAAAATAAATAAAAAAAAAATTATATATATATATATATAATAAAACACACACACACACACACACACACACACACACACACACACACAGTATATTTAATTTTTTTTGCTTTTTTGTTTGGGAAAGTTAATTTTTGATTCCAAGAATGTTTATTCAAAATAAATGGTTTTCAAAATAAATAACCAAATAGGAACCATATGGGAACGTTGTTTTTGATGGTGCCGACCTAGTAACGGCTATTGATACTGAAATAAGTCATTTCAAATTATATATAATTAAAAAAAACACACACACACACACACAGTATATTTAATTTTTTTTGCTTTTTTGTTTGGGAAAGTTAATTTTTGATTCCAAGAATGTTTATTCAAAATAAATGGTTTTCAAAATAAATAACCAAATAGGAACCGTATGGGAACGTTGTTTTTGATGGTGCCGACCTAGTAACGGCTATTGATACTGAAATAAGTCATTTGAAATAAGACATAATAACAAGCTTTAGCATGTGCTAACATCAAGGGTGTAGGAGATTTTAGGCAATGCTAAAATTAGCTTTGCAATTGTTCAATGTTCAATGAAGACGTCTGCTAGCAAAAAAGTCAACCATATGCAATGCTAGCATTTGCTCTCCTCGTGTAGTTTTACACAAAATATTTTTAAGACAGAAAAACATTCAAGTGCACCACTAAAGGACAGTTCACGATTGATTTGGTTTGATTTGGTTTTATTTATTCATGGATTCTTTTTAAACAGACAGTCTTATGGTTATTCAAATGAGCTCATTAGCATCTCAACTCCTCCCTGCAGCTGAAGAGCACATGAATATAGAGTGAAACACCATCCATCATGACAATCCTGCGATATGAAACGTGTGGCAGTAGAAGAGACTGATGAATAAACCTCAGACACAAGGACCATTAGCGTCTAATTGACCAGTTTATGATCAATATTCTCAATAATCTTATTGAGAATTCCTATACATATCTCTGAAAATAAAATGAGATGCATATCGCTGATGTGTAATCGAGCTCGGTTTTCCAGGAAATCCTGGCGTTTGACATCTCGTGTACCCGACTGACATATGAATCATTCATGTAAAAACCAGCTGAGAGGAAAACAAAACGCCTCCAGGAACCTTGAGCTTTATTTAGAAGATTATCTGGCGAATGTGAAATTACATATTGCATAAAATTAATAAATTATTATTATTATTATTTCTCCTCCTCATGTATACACACACTGGCTCTATTTCCCTAAACAGAAACATGAAACGATCTAAAGAGCGTCGACATCTGATATCCAGATATTGCATGTAAAACTGTATTTGCAGTGTTCAAAGAACTCTATACCTGAGGGAATCAAAGACTGATAAGATATAGTAAAAAGTAATCTTGCTTTAAAAATTAAAAAAGGCATCATATACTCAGATTTTTTTTGCAGTGGATCTCAATGGCCAGTAGGTGGAGCCACACCATTTCATTTGATTTGGTCAGATTTGGTTGACGTTTTTGCTTCAATTATTTAAAAGGCTTAAGAAATTTCACTGGCTGTGATTTGTAAAGACTAACAAAAGACCCACACAAAACCTAGATAGCGCACGTATGTTGTCGGGACGTTTTTGTTCTGTCACTTTTAGACCCTTCAGCATCTGCAGTACACTACGGGTCAAAAGTTTGGAATAATTATGATTTTTAATGTCTCTACTCACCAAGGCTGCATTTATTTGATTAAAATTACGGTCAAAACAGAAAAAAATGAAATATTATTAGAATTGAAAATAACTCTTTTCTATATGAATATAGTATAAAATGTCATTTATTCCTGTGATCAAAGCTGAATTTTCAGCAATAAATAAATAAATAAAAAATTATATATATATATATATATATATATATATAATTAAAAAAAACACACACACACACACACAGTATATTTAATTTTTTTTGCTTTTTTGTTTGGGAAAGTTAATTTTTGATTCCAAGAATGTTTATTCAAAATAAATGGTTTTCAAAATAAATAACCAAATAGGAACCATATGGGAACGTTGTTTTTGATGGTGCCGACCTAGTAACGGCTATTGATACTGAAATAAGTCATTTCAAATAAGACATAATAACAAGCTTTAGCATGTGCTAACATCAAGGGTGTAGGAGATTTTAGGCAATTGAAAATAACTCTTTTCTATATGAATATAGTATAAAATGTCATTTATTTCTGTGATCAAAGCTGAATTTTCAGCATCATTACGCCAGTCTTCAGTATGTGACATGAAATCATTCTAATATACTGATTTGCTGCTCAATTATTGGTTCTCAATATTTTATTTCATGATTCTTTGATGACATTTGTAACATTAAATGTTTTCCACATTGCTAATAATCCGAAATGTTTCTTGAGCAGCAAATCAGCATATTATTATGATTTCTGAAGAATCATGTGACACTGAAGACTGGAGTAATGATGCTGAAAATTCAGTTTTGGTCACAGAAATAAATTACAGTTTAACAGATATTCACATAGAAAACAGCTATTTTAAATTGTAAAAAATATTTCACAATTTTGCTGTTTTTACCGTATTTTTAATTAAAAAAAATTACAGCTTTGAGCAGAAGAGACTTCTCTAAAAATCTGATTTGCTAGTGTTTGTCGTTCCTGTTGTGTTACATTCACAACATTAAAGAATTAATTTACACATAAATATGACATTTAAAGCAACGTACGTGCGCTATCTGGGAAGCACACGCACATTTAATCGCGCATTCTTACCGTTAATTACCGTTACTCTTAATATCTACTGATATTCACTGAATTGTAAACAGAAAATACTCAAAGACAAAGTCGTAATATCTATATATACTGTAGTCTTATTCTATAACTATAAAATAAATGTCAATACTGTCATCTATACATGAATCATCAGAACCTTTAGCCAAATATAAGAGTAACTATGCAGAATCAGATAATGTTTATATACTACAACCAGAGTAGAAACTAAAGCTGCACGTACAGCGTTATACATTTATATATTCCCATTTACATAGAGCTATATCATCTGCTTTTAGATTGTATTATCAGATAACAAAAAATACAGTAATTACAGTACATAAATAATATAAGAAGTGCTATCAAATATTAAAAACTAAAAAAGAAAAACAACAAAAATAAAGACATATAGGCCTACCCTTAATACGCAAGAAAAGAAGGTCCATTAGGGGCCGCCGTGAGTCCGACTCACAGCGCCGTCTCTTTAAGGTCATTCAGGTTTGGCAAACGTGAACGAAAGTGGCGAGCGAAGCCGTTGGGGCCCGGTTTGGAGGTCAGCTGGTCAGGATACGGGTTTCCCTTGGGACGGTCCAGAGCGCTGGAGTGCCAGCCGGACTCCAGGGGCCCCGGGGCCCCGTACGCAGCCGAACGGCCCTTGGGCTGCATGGAGCCGAGGCCGCGGGGCTCCACGAAACTCCCGCCGCCTTTGGAGGAGGGCAGGGGGTAGTGGAGGTCTGCCGAGGTTTGGTTGGAGGACGAGGATGAGGAGGTGAGATGAAGCAGCTTCCGCAAAGACTTCAGAGGCTGAGAGAGAGAAACAAGGCTTTACTGTACTGATGGAAAACTACAGCACAAAATGTTCACTGCATTGTTTTCAGATCATTTGTGGCCCTGGACCACAAAACCAGTCTTAAGGGTCAATTTTTCAAAATATGGAAGCGGAATAAATATGCTTTCCATTGATGTATGGTTTGTTAGGGTAGGACAATATTTGGCTGAGATACAACTATTTGAAAATCTGGAATCTGTGGGTGCAAAAAAATCTAAATATTGAGGAAGCCTTTAAAGTTGTCCAAATGAAGTTCTTGGCAATGCATATTACTAATCAAAAATTACGTTTTTACGGTATGAAATTTACAAAATATCTTCATGGAACATGATCTTTGCTTAAAGGGTTAGTTCACCCAAAAAATTAAAATTAGCCCATAAATTACTCACCCTCAAGTCATCCTAGGTGTATATGACTTTCTTCTTTCAGACGAATCCAGTCGGAGTTATATTAAAAATGGTCTTTGATCTTTCAAGCTGTTTCATGGCACTCCGCGGGTGTAGCAGTGCTTCAGTCCAAAAGAAGTTAAATAAAAATCGCCCATCCAAAAAAAAATAAATAAATAAAAAAACTCACACGGCTCCGGGGGGTGAACAAAGGCCTCCTGTAGCGAATCGATGCGCTTTTGTAAGAAAAACATCCATATTCAAAACTTAATAATCACTTTATTGTAGCTTGCGCCAACAGTTGTACACGGAAGCAGCTCCGGGAGCATGACGTATGAGGTCAGCGCTGCGCATGCGCCGGTGAGTCTCGTGAAAACCAATGTTTGTTTACAGGAGCAAAGGAAGCAAAGTTTCCTTACTTTAGCAAAGGAAAACCAGTCTCCTCTCGGCTTATATCGAAATCCTCCGACATTCTTCTTTACAAATCCTCGTTTTGTACTTCTAATTAGTGACCGTTGTTTTGTTTTGATCTCTTCAAAAAAAATATTTTTCAGGCTTATATGTCAACCACCCAAATGCAGATCTCCCGTGGGTCCTTAAAAATTCCTAAAATGAGTTGTATCAAACTTAAGGCCATAAAAAGATTTAAATACATTAAATGGTATACGAGATGTCTTGATCATTTCAAGAGGTCTTACAGTTGGGGACGGAAAGACAAGATATGGCTGGATTAAACTTCAAAAGGCAATGATGTCATTGAATAAATATGAGCGCTGCACATTTCAAGTCAAAACGTGGCGCAGATTTCTTTATTTGAATTTATCTGAAGGGAACCGACTGTCCTCAGAAACGTGTCGTTGGCATTTTAAAGGGTTAGTTCACCCAAAAATGAAAATTAGGCTGCATTTTACTCACCCCCGAGGCATCATAGGTGTATATGACCTTCTTCTTTCAGACGAATCCAGTCGGCGTTATATTAAAAATTGTCTTTGATATTTCAAGCTGTTTAATGCCACTCAGCGGGTGTTGCACTGCTTCGGTCCAAAAGAACTTAAAAATCGCCCATCCATAAAAAAAAAGTGTCTCACATGGATTCGGGGAGGTGAACAAAGGCCTTCTGTAGTGAATCGATGCGTTTTTGTAAGAAAAATATCCATATTCAAAAGGTAATAATCATTTTAATTTAGCTTGCGCCAACAGTTGTACACGGAAGCAGCTCCGGGAGCATGACGTATGAGGTCAGCGCTGCGCATGCGCCGGTGAGTCTCGTGAAAACCAGCGTTTGTTTACAGGATCAAAGGAAGCAAAGTTTCCTTACTTTAGTCTCCTCTTGGCTTACTACGAAATCCTCCGACATTCTTCTTTACAAATCCTCGTTTTGTACTTCTAATTCTTGACCGTTGTTTTGTTTCGATCTCTCCTCTGCGTTTCTGTGTCACTTCTGAGCGCCGCTCGGAGCTGCTTCCGTTTACAACAGTGAGCGCAAGCTAGATTCAAGTGATTATTACGTTTTAAATATGGATTTTTTTCTTACAAAAACGCATCGATTCGCTACAGGAGGCCTTTGTTCACCCCCCTGGAGCTGTGTGAGACACTTTTTTTTAATGGATGGGCGCTTTTTATTTCACTTCTTTTGGACTGAAGCACTGCAACACCCGCTGAGTGCCATGATAGAGCTTGAAATGGCCAGGACAATTTTTAATATAACTCCGACTGGATTCGTCTGAAAGAACAAAGTCATATACACCTAGGATGACTTGAGTAATTAGAGTAATTTGTGGGCTAATTTTAATTTTTGGGTGAACTAACCCTTTAATATCCTAATGATTTTTGGCATAAAAGAAAAATCTATAATTTTGACCCATACAATGTATAGTTGGCTATTGCTACAAATATACCTGTGCTACTTATGACTGCTTTTGTGCTCCAGGGTCACATTTATATTTATAATTCAAAGCATAATTTATAGAAATCAAAAACTGAATATCTTTTATATTTAAAAAAATATATATTTTTCTATCATTTATTTATACCTTTATATAATATACATAATTTATACACAAGTTATTTACAGAATTTATAAAAAATTATATAATCTTTTTATATAATTTACATAATTTATATGTACATTTATAACTTTTTTATAAACACATTATGTTTATAAAGTAATTAAAAACTGAATCCTTTTTATATATCAAATTTATTTATATATTATAATTTTTATATGCAGTGTATATGCAATTTAATGCATTATTTATAAAAAATCCAAAACTGGCTCTTTTGATTATATAACATATTGAGCTGTAACCACACAAGTGTACTATTAATAAACCCTATTATGCATTATTTCTGTGTGGGTATTTTATTCCTGGAATTGAACAATTTTAACAATTCCAGGTGTTACTTCAAACCAAAAATGTACTTTCATATTGATTATAATTAAATTATGTAAAGTATAATTGTTTTTCTTGAAATAGCTCTATAGCACATGCATCACAGCGCTGTCTATGAAATCTATTCATAACTAATATGTTCCTGTAATAATAAAAAACACTATTACTTTCTATGTAAATTAGGCTCATTATACATTAAGGCATGTTCATGAGTTATTTTTCTTTTATATTATTTCATAGCTATTATGAACACTATTCTTTAAAAGTTTGGGGTCCGTAAGATTTTTTTAGTTTTTTTTAATAATACTTGTATTCATCAAGGATGCATTAAATTGATCAAAAGTGACAGTAAAACATTTATAATGTTACAAAAGGTTTCAATTTCAAATAAATGCTGGAAAAAAATAAAATCCTGAAAAATAAAATGCATCAATAATTCCACAAAAATATTGGGCAGCACAACTGTTTTCAGCATTGATAATAATCAGAAATGTTTCTTGGTGACACTGAAGACTGGAGTAATGATGCTGAAAATTCAGCTTTGATCACAGAAATAAATTACATTTTAAAATATATTCACATAGAAAACAGTTATTTGAAATTGTAATAATATTTCAATTTTTTTTACTGTATTTTGATCAAATAAATGCAGCCTTGCAGAGCAGAAGAGACTCTTTCAAAAACATTAGAAAATCTTACCGACCCCAAATTTCTGAACGCTAGAAGGGTATATGCATGTTTTATTTCTGAATGCATATTAACATGCAGTTCTTTTATGTAAAGCTCTTTATGAATCAAGCCGTTCTAGTGTGACAGTGTGTGTATCTCTGCTGATGATCCGTTCATATGAAGTGTGAGTGAGCACCTGTGAGTGTGTGTCGAGCGCTCTCTCCGCGGGCCAGTCTGCGTCCCGCTCCGGATCCTGCTCTCGCTCTCGCTCTCGGTCGCGGCTGCGGGTGCGATGTCTGCTGCCCTGGTGTGTGTACGAGCGGGACGCTTTCTGCATCAGCGCCTGATCCGGCCCCTCGCTCGACACCTGACCAATCACACGCCGCACAGCGCTGTCAATCACCTCCACATCACAACAGCACAACAGAGAACAACAGCCCCGCGCGGAAACAAGCATAATACTTTTTTATTTTTTAATACTCTTTTTATTCTCTTGTTTTATTCTTTATTATTATTATCATTAGCCAGATTAGACAGTAAAAACACTGATAGTTTTTCACAACATCATATTATTATTGTTTTTAATATATTATTTTTATCATAATATTACACATATATATATATATATATATATATATATTATCATGTTTTTTATTTATATATGTATATATATATATATAAAACGTAACAAATATATTAATTTTCTGCATAATAAAATTACTGTATAACTAATAATATTACATATAATATATAATATTAATATTTTTAATATCACTGTTATTAATTTATATATATATATATATATTTATTATTATTATTATGTTTTATGATGATGGTTAATCAAAATAGACAGTAAGAACACTAATGGCATCTTACAACATCATATTTATTATTTTAAGTATTACTTAATATTAATATTATTATTACTTTTTATGACTATTAGTTTATATTAATTTTCATACTATTATTAATATAACATTTTATTATGATGATGATTATTATTTCATTATAATTAACCAAATTAGACAAAGCAAAAACACTAATGGCTTTTCACAACATCATAATATTATTATTTCAATATTTTATATAATTTTGTTTACTTCCAAATGATTCCAGAAGAAATTAATAAGTTTAACTTTATTTTTATTATTATATTTTTACAGGTAAAAAAATAACACAAAATAAGTCTAATTTCTGTAATATAATAACCAAAATAATCATGTTTGTTTGGACATTATTTTGTTCATAAATTAAGCATCATAAATTAATTTCAGCACACAAATACTACCATGCTACAACTTACAAATGCATTTTACAATAATATAGTGTTGCTTACTTGCATTTCAGAAATGAAAATGGCCTCTTGCATTACATAAAATGCACTTCATTTTCTATAAGCAAAATATAATTTCCTACAGTTCTTCTTTGATTTTGGGCTGCAATATGACATGAATATGTGTTCAACCTCAATCTGTTTCTGCGGAAAAACATGCCAACCACAGGATGCAAGTATGGGCGGAGTCATTCTAATGAGACGATGGCATCACAGACCTGACAGCCAATGAGGAGACACGCGCCCAGCCCACTGGAGCAGAAGTGATTAGTGCTGTTAATCATGCAGCGCAGCGGTTTAGTGTGTGCTAGCGGATTGTACAGTATGTGTGAGACTGCTGTACCATTGCTGTGGCCACTAGGGGACGCTCTCTCTCAGAGGAGCTGCGCGTGAAGCTCCTCTGAGAGTGAAAGAGAGGAAACAGAGCTTTCCTCACGACTGGCCGTCGCTCGTCATCAGCGTCTGTCTGCAACACAAGAGCACAACACTCACACATCCGCCACCCCACTCCACTGTGTGTCTGATTAGGGCTCATACAATTATTTGTACTATTTATTATTTGTACATTTTCAAATTTTTTTTGTTAGTTCTTATTAATATTTTGAATTAGTTTTTATATTTTCCATGTTCATTTTAAAATTTAGTTAAAGTTTTTGCTCATTTAGTCTCTATCGGTTTTTTCATCTATATAGTTTTTATTCATTTTTTTATTTCAGCTTTAGTTTCGGATATTTTAGCGCATCGAACACAGTAAAAACACTGATAGTTTTTCCACAACATCCTATACAGTATATATTACGGATGGGCATTCCAAGCAAAAAATAATATTCGAAAATCGCTGGGTATTATTCGATTATTATTCGAAAATCGCACCCCTCCCCCGCATGCACGCACAAACAATGTTTAATTTAGACGATAGGCTATCTTAAATCAAGCCAGATAATGATTGCAACGTGCTGAAACATATGAATATAATAAACATAACCGAATGACGGCCCTTATTAACATAAAAGTCCGTCGATTAGCATAAATCAACTGCTCATAAGGCTATGGGCGAATTCCAAACGTCTTTTTTGCGCCCTTGAAGGGCACTTCGGGAAGGGGACGCCATTTTTAGAGACGTTCCAAACGAAAGTGAACAACTGAATCCCGTCACGAAGATTCGTGATTAATGATCGTGATCTCTAGATTATAAAACACTGCATTCGGTCAGCAATGTAACGCGGCTGTAACGTGTAGAGACCTCGGCTTGTAACTATACTCTAATTACTATTTTAAAAATTATAACGCCTTAAATTACCCCGTTACTAAAAAAGTAATCAAATTACAGTAACGCGTTACTGCCCAACACTGGTCCGCGCACAACTCTTATTTGACATCGTCCCAAGTTACTGTAACCATTATATGCCTTAAATTACCCCGTTACTAAAAAAGTAATCAAATTACAGTAACGCGTTACTGCCCAACACTGGTCCGCGCACAACTCTTATTTGACATCGTCCCAAGTTACTGTAACCATTATATGCTACGCAAGTCTACAGTGTGCGCGTGAGACAATGTGTTCTTCTGTTGTCTTTGACAGCTTTTAGGTGCATTACTGACAGCGCCACCCTCTGCTTACATGAATGCGTCACCACCGCATCAGCACGGAAAACATGGGGACATTTTTTAAGGCAATAATCGCACAACCTATTCGATATTCTATAATTAAATCAACTAATCGAACATTCGAAAATCGTGACCCATCCCTAGTATATATATATATATATATATATATATATATGTGGGTCAAAGACGATAAGATTTCCGCATCAAAGGAAATTTACAAAAGTGATTATATGTCCATAGAAAACACATTAAATGTAAGTAAAGTGTCTACTTTTAAGGTTCCAAATAAGTTTTTTGGAGAATAAAATGTTAAAATTTGGTTGAAATAATGTTACGTTGTCATTCAGTGTAACACAATATTTACGTAAAGATTCAAACAACACGCTTATTCTGATTTGTACATATTAAAATATATAAAAGAATAAGGGAGCATATTACATTTTATTGTGTTTTAAGTGAGTAAACAAATTATTATTGACAAATGGGCAAAACCTAGGATAGTGGCAAATTTAAAAAATGTAATATTACAACTAATTATTATTTGGGGTGAAAGTAATTAGTCTTTTAATGTGCCATAAATAGATTTTTGTTGTAAATACGCTTGACAAGATTGTTACACTGAATGAGATTTTAGTGGGTGTCTTCTGTAAATCAGGGGAAAATGTATGATATTTATTTTTTGTTCGGAAAAACAAAAACAAAATTGCAATTAAATTAAACAGAAAACTTTTTTAATTTTTTGGGGAAACACAACAACAATTTAAAGCAGTATTACACTTATTGTTTTTATGCTCAAACCCTTTTTCATCTTTGACCCATATATAGTAAAAACACTAATGCATCTTACAACATATTTATTATTTTAAGCATTACATAATATTAATATTACTATTATTACTTTTTATGACTATTAGTTCATACTCATTTTCATACTATTATTAATATTACATTTTATTATGATAATTATAATTTCATTATAATCAACCAGATGAGACAAAGCAAAAACACAAATGGCTTTTCACAACATCATAATATTATTATTTCAATATTATTTTATATTAATAGTTGTACGATAGAAGCTAATTTTATATTAGTTTCTATCATTTTTATTAGGTTTTCTCATCTATATAGTTTTTATACATTTTTATAAAAAGTTATTTTAGCACATCAAATTGAACTAAGTTTTAGTTTTTTATTTTAAATTGTATTTTCTTCCAAGTAACGTAAACATTTTTTAATGGTTTCAGTTTTAGTTAACAACAATAACCTGCAAACTAATCAACTACCCTAACAGATTTTAACGCTCTAGAAATCTGAGATTGATTAGGGTTTACAATTAAATATAAATATAAATATTTAATGTTTTTATTTTAAAAGGGCTCATATCATGACAAATCCATTTCTTTAAATTTTTTATATTTTGAATGAGTTTTTATATTTTCCATTTTCGCTTTAATTTTTGTTAGTTTTTGTAATTTTGTTTCTGTCACTTTTATTAGTTGTTATTGTTTTGTCTATATAGTTTTAATAATAACTTTTAGTTTTAGTTATTTTAGTACTTCCAGATAACTTAAAATGAGCTGAAAAGAAGAGTTTTTAAACATTTTATTTGATTTCAGTTCATGTTTATTTTATATTTTATTTTATTTCAAGCAAAAACAAAAACAAACAAAAAGCTTTTGCTTTTAATTAACAATAATAACTCTGTAAACAGGTTACCCTACCTGAGAGATTTTAACTTTCTAGAAACAACTGAATATTGATTATGGGTTAAATAATGAATTATAAAAATCCAACTTTTTGGTCTTTTAAAAAAATATGTGATATTCGGTGAAAAACGACTTAAGCTTTGGACTGTTCCTCTCACAAAGCTATCATGTGACTTCAAAAGACTGGGTGGAGTCGGGTGACGGGTCTGGTTTACACTCTACTAGTCACTTACACACACATTAAACTGTAAGACATAAACACGTGACACACACACACAGACTCACGGTTTGAGACTTCTTCTTCTTCTTCTTGATGGATCTGAAGAAGCCTTGTTTCTCCTTCTCTTTGGTGGGTTCTGGAGGACTCATGTCCCGCGTCTCAGACCCCGTCCTCATCAAACAAGACACACTTTAATACAACCCATGCTTACAATCTCTGTTTATTTTATTATCATTTTTATTTTATTCATATTTTTAAAAAAAAGTGTTATATGTCTACATAGTTTTCATTCATTTTTATTTGTTTCAGTTTTAGTTATTTTAGTACTTCAAGTTAAACTAAACAAAACTGAGAAATGTTGCCTTGGTAACGAACTTAAATAGGGCTGCCACTAATTACTATTTTTATTTTCGATTAATCCATCGACTAATTTATCGATTAATCTAAGCGATTCATTTCCCACAAAAAAAATCAACAATTTTACTTAAGAACATTTTATTAAACTATATTTTATTAAACCAAATGAAGTCCAAATTTCGATGAAATCCTTTTTTTAAAGCAAAAGTAAAGTGCATCCATCTCATAGTCCAAATCACTGAAATCAGAGTTCAGTATTATAGTGTACATATCCACGTGTTCTAGTCTACTACTAATACAATTATAATCAAAAAACACTTTTTAAAGGAGTATTTACCAGAAATGTTATTTAGCAGAATTTATTTAGGGGAAAAATGTAAATGTACAGATTTTTTAATTTTTTTAATTTTTTTTAATAAAATCAATTAATTGGAGATGCTTTTGATTGTTAAAATTTAATGGAACCATTAAAATGGAATCCAGATAATAATGGAAAACAGAATTTCGTAGAGATAAAACTGTAAAACTCAATTAATTAGACAGGCTTTTTTATTAATAACATTTAATTTAACCATTGAAACAGAGTATAGAAAAATGAAAAGGGAACAAAACTGAATTTGGAAATAAAACGGATTTCATAGGGCCCTATAATTATAATAAATTTTTTTGTGGTAATAAAAATAGATGTAAGTGAACAACAGCTTTTAAAATACATATATAATAGCAATGAGGCAATAATAATTAGTTCAAATAAAGTATCAAAAGCAAGAAATCATACGGTTTTATTGAACAAAACTGTTAAAATACATATTGTATTATAAACAATAGAGCTAATGTATATTACGCATTACAATAAAGGCCTGCAGGGGGCGCCAACGGCCTGATGATTGTTTTTACACATTACTGTGCGATCTAATCCTTGTTTAATATAGACCAAGCACCATTTCATTCAAATGTCAACTTAATCTTTAATATTTGGCCATTTCTTTAGGACAGAAATGCTATAGCCACTGTAATTAAAAGAAGACGTGGACATCAAAACGTGTAAACTCAGAGTGAGGGGTTGAGCTTTTATTTTGAAACCGCGATGTATTCTCCTGAGTTTGCGTAGATTTATAAATGATTTACCTTACAAATCTGATGAAACTGCACATGTTGTGTTCCCAGATGAACGTTATAATAAACCCAAACTCACAACAACATGCAGAGATGGAGTTTGAGATGCTCCACACTCATGTAAATGATAACAGTTCCTGTGAACGGAGCCGCCGTGTAACGCATGTACTTAACCTACACGCATGTAAATAATTAAAGCGCATATACTGTATTAGAACGGCATTGCATATAATTAATTAAATCGTAGCGTTTGTGAATTCATAATTATGCTTAATTATGATTTTTAAATGGGTTTAATATATCATGCAGCCTTGGGAAACCGTCTAATAATGTGTTTTATGGATTCTCGTCCGTGAAATGCGCCACTTCCGGTATTTTGCCGGTTAGTCGACGCGAGCAAAATGAAGTCGAGGATTTTTTTTAAATCGAATAGTCGAATAAAATCGACGAATCGCGACAGCCCTAAACTTAAATAAAACACGTTTTTTATATTTTATTTTATTTACTGTTTATTTTATTTTGAGTAAGGAACATGTTTTAATGGTTTTAGTTTTAATTAACAAGAATTACCATGGAAACTGGTCACCTGAGATTTCTCTAAAAACAAGTTAATTATAACAATAATGATAGTTTGTTTTAATTTTTATTTTCATATCACGACTATTCCAATTGTGAATAAGTGAATAATGACTTAAATTTAGAGTTTTTATTTTTAAATTTAGATTCATTTCCTGTTTGTCACTTCCTGCTTGACTGTCCAATGCACTCAAGTATCAGAAATAATTGTAAAAAGCATTCATTGCCTCATGGCTATTAATATAAATATATTTGTTCCATAATTTGTTTATTCCAAGCACAGGAAAGTTACACATTTTTAAAAATACAGTCCTTGCATTATATATTTTTTCACGTTATCATGGAAAAAAGTTTAATTCAAATTACATTTTGGTCGAGCCAAATAATAGTAGCACATACAAATGTATTTAGCATATTTAGAGTAGGGCACTAATAGAGTGTGTCAGTGCATCATCCTCACCATGGGTCGTATGTGGGTTGGTGTATGTTGTGGCTGCTGTCCATCGTGACTCCTGAACTCTCGTGGAACGAGTTATCGGGTCTGGGAGACGGCACTGATCAAAACAGAACAACATCAACATATTAATGAGATTAATGCGCTGAGATCAACCAGTGTTACAGAAAGCAACTAATTATATTGCACTGTTATAGTAACTTTTGCATTACTTCTCATTCTTTTTTTTTTTTTTTTTCAAAGTGGTATTTGTTTTGGTGGGTTTTGATTGTCCTTCCAGCATAGTTAGCATGCAATGACTGTACTGCGACGCATGCGGTGTTGACAGTTTTGTTGATTATAATGGGAGCAATTTAATTTGATTTGCATCGTGCCTGCAGTGTAGAGACAGTAGCAAGCACTGCTTGAACCTATAATACGTGACTACAGTATACAGGCAACAGAGAACTTTTCAATGGCATTCATTAAAGAACAAATAAGACAACATAGAAAGAAATTAAATAAAACTAAATAATAAAATTAAAAAGTAACAAAACTCTGGCATCATGATAAAACATTACTTTGTTGTTATTTATTACGCATGCATCTACATTACGCGACTACAGTATGGGGAACGGAGAGTTTTTCAATTGCATTTGTCAGTAAATAAATTAGAGAACATAAAAAATAAAGTAAAACAAAATATTTAATTTAGTTTAATCTAATTTAATACATTAACAAAATAACCCTGGTATTATGATAAAAACATTATTGTTATTAATTTATTATTTATTATGCATTAACTACAGTACGGGGAACAGTTTTCAATTGCATTTGTTAATAAATAGACAACAAAAAAATAAATTAAATTGAACTGAATTATAAACTAATACATTTTTATAAATTAATTAAATTAATCCCGGTATAACGATAAAACACTCCTTTGTTGTTGTTTTTTTTATTATTTAATATGTATGCACTACAGTAAGAGGAACGGTTTTCAACTGCAGGTTTTCCATTGCATTCTTTACTAAATAAATTAGACAATATAGACTTTTTTTTTTTAATTATATTTAATTATTATTATAAATTATATTTTATTATAACTAGTATTATGATAAAACATTACTTTATTGTTTGTTTTTATTATGCATGCACTTAGAGTACATGACTACAGCATGAGGAACAGAGAGGTGTTCAATTGCATCTGCTAATAAATGAATTAGACAACATAGAAATCAAATCAAATTAAATTAAATTCTGAATTAAATAGTAAGAATTATTATATATTATGATAACACATTATACTTTATATATATATATATATATATATATATATATATATAAAGTATAATGTGTTATCATAATATATAATAATTCTTACTATTTAATTCAGAATTTAATTTAATTTGATTTGATTTCTATGTTGTCTAATTCATTTATTAGCAGATGCAATTGAACACCTCTCTGTTCCTCATGCTGTAGTCATGTACTCTAAGTGCATGCATAATAAAAACAAAGTACTTTATCGTTCGCTTGCAAAGAACAATCTGATGGCATGTACATTTCTTGTAACTTGTCACTGCAAACTCTGTCTATATCATTTGTTAAAATCAGAAGCATCATGTGCATAAGTGTGAGGAGACTGACCCCTGTAGAAGCTCCCGACCCGTCGCGGCACTGAGTCGCTGTACATCATGCGGTTCTCTTTGGCCGATCCGCTGTCATCTGCGAGCTGCTCGTGATAAACACCTCCCTGCAGCATCAACATTTGTCAAAGACCCTTTCCAGCTGAAAAAGTGCTGCGTGTAACACTGAGGACATTATTTATCATGAATAGTGACGATTTCCCCTGTGTTTAAACTCCAAACAGAAGAAAACACAACCGAAATGCCTCCGTCTGAATGAGAGAGCAAAGCAAACAGAAAAATGGGCAGCAGAAAGAGGAGTATGAAGAGAAGGAGGTATAGAGACAGTGAAAGAGAGGGAAAGCAGGATGGTGCGGACCTCGCTCTTTTGCCGTGGTGCGTGAAAGGTGGTGGTGTTGTCCCGTGTGGACTCCCGGATTAAAGGTCGCGTGTGACTGACCTCTGCGGCCGCGGGGTCGCTCTGTTTATGGAGAGATGAGAGCAGGTGAAGCACAAAGTGCCCGCACACATTCATACAAACACCCTGTTACAAACCCTAGTGAGCTGCCTACCTAAACAACACACTCAGACATCATACTGTACACAAACTAGACAGACAGACAGACAAACAGATAGATAGATAGATAGATAGATAGATAGATAGATAGATAGATAGATAGATAGATAGATAGATAGATAGATAGATAGATAGATAGATAGATAGTTCCTGTCATTCAAATTCAAATTCAAAATGTTTTGTGGTCAATTAAAATCACATTCACTCCCATCAACCGAAAGGGAGCCAATATTTTAATTCTAAATTTTGTAGAATGTTGCCTTAGAAGCTAGCAGCCTATGTAGACAATAGACACTGGGGCAGCTTATTAAGGTTTGGAACGGATCCTAATATTTACAAGCCACACGTCCAGACTTCACCCAGACCCAGGATGGGCAACTCCAATCCTGTAGAACTACTGTCATGCAGAGTTTAGCTCCAACCTTGACCAAACACACCTGCCTGCAATTTTCAACCTGCAAACTTGAAGACTATGGATGGATTTTTCAGGTCTGACTGATTAGGGATGGAGCTAAACACTGGAGCTAAAGCTGTCCACTCCTCATCCAGACCCACCACTGGACCAACTCTACACACTTCACGAACACTCACAGGCATCATAAAGCATGCTGCAATGCTCTGCGCTAGCAAATCACTAAAGAAAGTGAAAGAGGTCTGGAGGACTGACCCTGATGTCGTCTAATCCCGTTTCCCGCGACACAGCATTGTCCATGTGTCTCGGCAGGGTCCGATGCTGTAGCTGAGGGGTCAGGAGCTGTAGACTGCTGGCCCTCGTGGACATCCCTTGCCCCACTGCCAATCCGCCCGCCTCACCTCCGTGGGGTCGCCCCCGTTCCCTCCGCACATACATGGAGTGCCTATGCGGCCTCTGCTGGGAGGAAAACGGGCTGGTGTAGCCCATGCCGTAGGGGAACTCATGGGGTGCCGAAAGAGACAGTCCCCCTGTGGGGTCAAGCGGATCTACAGGGTTTCCGTCACTCTTCTGCCTTGATGAGGAACGGCGGGTGGACGGCTCAGCCATGCTTCCATCCCGTTCCAGTTTGCTGCGACGCCCCACTGCGGGACTGTGTCCGGAACGCTCCCCGTGTTGCAGGGATGGACTGCCCGGCGCTGGCAAGTTCAGGTTCATGTTGAGGTCCAAGCAGCTGCTGGGGAAGTAGCGCGGAGAGCCAGCGGGGTCATCTGGGTGCAGTCGCATGTCGCTGAGGTTGCTCACGGATTTGGCGTCGCTAAGCACTCCGTGACTCTTGGACAAACTCAGGTACGAAGACGACCCCTTTCCACCCAAAGATGAGCCGTGGCGGCTCTGTTTCTCCCGGTCCCCCGCCAAAGTGCTGGTCTTGCCCTCCACAAAGGAATGGCGGTTCTGGGAGCGAGGCGTGTTGGATTTCAGGTATTTGGGCACCGGTCCGTCCGCCGGTTTGCCAAAGTCAAAATCGCCTGCTTTCGATTTGGCCTCTTTGGCGTGATGCAGGCTGGCCAGGTCTTTACCGCACGACGCCGAGCGGTTGAGCGGCTGAAAGGATTTGGGGTGCATCACCGGACTCAGGCTGTTGGGAGATGGTACCGACCCATTCAGGAATGCCTCGGTGCTGGACGGGTGGAGGTCTTCGTTCCCGTGGCGGGGCAGACTGGAACAGTCGCGGCTGTTTGAGCGATGGTGACTTGAACTCTTGACCACATGACCCCTAAAGACCCATTAAAAATTAAAGTATGCAAACCTTGGTGACTGTATGCAACACTGTTTGAGGAAAACAGTTTTTTGGATCTGTCTGTCTGTCTATCTATCTGTCTATCTGTACCTGTTTGTCTATCTATCTATCTATATATCTGTCTGTGCCTGTTTGTCTGTCTATCTATCTATATATCTGTCTGTGCCTGTTTGTCTATCTATCTATCTATATATCTGTCTGTGCCTGTTTGTCTATCTATCTATCTATATATCTGTCTGTGCCTGTTTGTCTATCTATCTATCTATATATCTGTCTGTGCCTGTTTGTCTATCTATCTATCTATATATCTGTCTGTGCCTGTTTGTCTGTCTATCTACCTATCTATCTATCTATCTATCTATCTGTCTATCTATCTGTCTATCTGTGCCTGTTTGTCTATCTATCTATCTATCTATCTGTCTGTGCCTGTTTGTCTGTCTATCTACCTATCTATCTATCTATCTATCTATCTATATATCTGTCTGTGCCTGTTTGTCTGTCTATCTACCTATCTATCTATCCATCTATATATCTGTCTGTGCCTGTTTGTCTATCTATCTATCTATCTATCTGTCTGTCTGTCTGTCTGTCTATCTATCTATAGCATTTGGTGCACTGTATTTCTGTATGGAATACCTGATGACCTACTAAATGTAGCACAATTGTGTAATATTCTGTATCCCATAATGCAATGCATTTAAATGGACTTTCTATAAATTTTACTTGACCTTGACTTGCAGAATGATGAATATAAATGAAGTAAGACTCATTATTTGCTGCCAAAAGCTAAAAATTGTACACAAAACTGGATTAAAAATGCAAAATTAACTATTTTCGAGTTGTAAATGTAATAAGTCACCATGTCACCAAAAATAGCATACTACTATTTGAAATATTGCATACTTAACCAGATAATTAGCCAGTATACAATAAGTACACTAGTTTTCCATTCCAATCACAGCCCATCACTGTAACATTGACTCTCCTCAGTCTGATTTCATTACTCCTCCTGACCTGCTGGGGGCGCTGTTGTCCAGGAGCGGTTTCCTCTTGGAGGAGCGGACGGGTGTGGGTGTGAGTGGGCCGGGTCGCTCCGTCAGGCGCTGAGTCTGGAAGGCGTGGTGGTTCAGACTCTGTTCAGTCAGATAGCGCTCATTCGGGTTTAACAACAACAGGTTCTGAAAATACAAACCACAATGACATGGATAATCCTGGTTGACAGTCTCAACCATTCGATCCTATGAAAACATTTCACAGCGAAATCGAAAGAAAAAACTTGAGAAAAAAAGCCTATTTTTTTCAATTATTTTCATGAAAACTAAGCACATTTCTTTAATTCTGATTATTATAATGAATTGAAAATTTTTACTTACAGTACCTTCCTATACAATTTTCTGTGTATTGTACTATATTTTAGAATATACATATATATACTATCTTATAGAAATATATCATTCTTATAGTAATATATAATTATCTTACATTTTATTATAAATTAAATTAAAACATTTAATTACTATAAAGGAACTACAACTGCTACATTATATATAATTACTTTATGAATGTAAATCTATATTTTATTCTATATATATATATATATATATATATATATATATATATATATATATATATATATATATATATATATATATATATACACAACGACACAACGATCTGTTGGACAAGATACGATATAAAGCTGCTCTTATATGAATAGCCATGCGTTAGCAGCTATTGCACATAATGAAACGATAAGGAAGTGTTTTACAAACACACGTGAAAAGCAGACAACCTTTGCTTGTGCGTAATGAGCAAATCACGATGAAGATTACGTTTATGTGTTCATGTACTCATATATTGAGGCGGCAGAGGCTGAAAAAACCACGAGCTTCAGTAGGTCTATGTGTAGTGAATGAAACCGCATGTCTGCGCCATTAATTTCCACGAGGGGCAGACTGGGAAAAAAATCTCACACTCATACACCCACAACAAATTCTGAAACATGGACAACCCTATTTCTTGTATGGACCTCACATAAAAAAGGTTTAAATCCTCAGGTTTGGGACATGCAAAATAATTAAAAGTTCTCTCCTGAACTGCACCTTCACTTCCATTTTTCTTTTCAGTCTCTTTATTTTGCCCTGATATCTATCTCTATAAAAGCATATACATCAACTCAAATACGGTTATCTAATAAGCATGTGTCCTATTCGGTGAACTAAACTCCTGAAACATTGGTGTCTCTTTGTATATGATAGTTTTCTCAAAATAAGTAAAATGCTCATGAAGTTACTCAGAGCGGTTCTAGAGATTACGTTTATGTGTTCATGTACTCATATATTGAGGCGGCAGAGGCTGAAAAAACCACGAGCTTCAGTAGGTCTATGTGTAGTGAATGAAACCGCATGTCTGCGCCATTAATTTCCACGAGGGGCAGACTGGGAAAAAAATCTCACACTCACTTGGATGGACATTGACCAGGTATGGATGTGGCAAGACTATTGTTAGCCCTTAGACAGGGCACACGATCGCTGGATGGCTATATTCAAGAATATTTAGCCATCGCTCATTATTCAGATCTGCCGGACTGTGTTTTGATAGCCTTTTTTTATGAGGGCATTAATCAACCGTTAAAATCCAAACTCATTCACGAGGGTCCACGTTCATCAAGTCAGTGTATGGACTTTGTTGACGGTTGGTTCAGCGTTCACTGTGGGTATCGCGGAGGAGCACGGCTCCGCACTCGCTCATGTAATAGCGGCCACACTAGAGCACGCTCACAAAATGGCGGCGACAGCGGAGCACGCTCACAAGATGGCGGACACAACAGCACCCAGTCATGTCACAGCTGCCCATCATGAGTCAAGTCTAGTCACAGTGGATCATCATGAGTCAGGTCTAGTCACAGCTGATCTTCCTGAGTCGAGTTTAGTCACAGTTGATCATTATCATGAGTCAAGTCAAGTTACAGTTCATTATCATGAGTCAAGTCAAGTCACCGCTGATCTTCCGGAGTCCAGTCAAGTCACAGCTGATCTCCCTGAATTCAGTCAATTCACGGTTGATCATCATGAGTCAGGTCAAGTCACAGTTCATTATTATGAGCCTAGTCAAATCACAACAGATCTTCCTGAGTCGAGTCTATTCACAGCTGATCTCCCTGAGTTCAGTTAAACCACAGTTGATCATCACGAGTCAAATCAAGTCACAGGTTATTATCAGGAGTCTAGTCAAGTCACAGCTGATAGTCATGAGTCTAGTCAAGTCACAGTTTATTATCATGAGTCTAGTCCAGTCACAGCTGATATTCACAAGTCTAGTCAATTCACAGCTGATCTTCCTGAGTCAAGTCTAGTCACAGCTGATTTTCCTGAGTCAAGTCTAGTCACAGCTGATCTTCCTGAGTCAAGTCTAGTCACAGTTGATCATCACGAGTCAAATCAAGTCACAGGTTATTATCATGAGTCTAGTCCAGTCACAGCTGATAGTCATGAGTCTAGTCAAGTCACAGTTTATTATCATGAGTCTAGTCCAGTCACAGCTGATATTCACAAGTCTAGTCAATTCACAGCTGATCTTCCTGAGTCAAGTCTAGTCACAGCTGATTTTCCTGAGTCAAGTCTAGTCACAGCTGATCTTCCTGAGTCAAGTCTAGTCACAGTTGATCATCACGAGTCAAATCAAGTCACAGGTTATTATCATGAGTCTAGTCCAGTCACAGCTGATAGTCATGAGTCTAGTCAAGTCACAGTTTATTATCATGAGTCAAGTCCAGTCACAGCTGATATTCACAAGTCTAGTCAATTCACAGCTGATCTTCCTGAGTCAAGTCTAGTCACAATTGATCTCCCTGAGTCGAGTCTAGTCACAGTTGATCATCACGAGTCAAATCATGTCACAGGTTATTATCATGAGTCTATGAGTCTACTCGCTGATAGTTATGAGTCAAATCGAGTCACAATTTATTTTCATGAGTCTAGTCAAGTCACAACTGATCGTCTGATCGTCAGTC